AAATAGTGAGATATCTCCGGTCATATGATCGAAAGCACCTAAGTCAATAATCCACATTCTCCTTTTTGTGGAATAAGTTGAGAGACCAGAAAAATTACCTTTAAGAGATATGAAAGCATTACTGAGAACCATATTGAGAGAAAACATTTTCTGGAGGAGGCTGATCTGTTCAGGACTAAATAGAGGGCTTTCGGTAGGAACGGCTGTAGCTGATTCCTCCTCAGTTTAGACAAAATTGCCCCGATGAGTCTTCTGCTTTGGTGTCTTTTTTTTTAGCTGGCTTCCTGTGAAGCTTCTTGCATCTTCCATAAATGTGCCCAGGTTTTTTACAGTATTCACACCATGGCCGTCCCTTCCGCTCAGTCACCCGACTTGTGAGGGCTACACCAGTCTCGGGTGAGAGAGAACTGCTTTCAGCAAGGTTAGGGCTGAGTTGCAATTCACCCATTATTACTTTCTTCCTGCTTTCTTCCCATCGCACCTCAAAGAACATCTCTCAAATGTTCGGGAGAGGTTTGGTTCCAAGGATGCGTTCTCTTACCTCGTCGAGGTATTTGTTCACTCCGAAGAGGAATTTGAATATTTGTTTATGTTCCACGGTGCTTCGGAATCTCCTGACATTCTCGGGACAGCTCTAAGCATGTTCCTTAAAGCGTCAAGTTGTTGCCAAGAAAATTATAATATTGAATTATCGCCTTTTCTCCTTGGCGCAGGTCGTGAAGACTTGCTTCGACTTCGAAGATGACAGAAGTATTGTCACATGTGGAGTAGAACTCGTGGGCTGCGACCCAGATATTATGTGCAGTCTCATAAAGGAGAAAATTTTCTCCAATTTCGGTGGTCATTGAGTTCACCAGCCAAGGCATAACAAGATTGTTTTATACTTTTCATGTTCGAGCATTTGGATCATTCGCGGGAGATGGTGAGAGTTCTCTAGTGAGGTATTCGTCTCGGTCTTTCCCTCAGATGAACATTAATACCAAGGACGACCATTGAAGATAGTTACTGCCATTTAGTCGATGGCCAGTAACGAAAGAAGGAGCCTGATCAGCGAGAACATAGCTATCAGGCACCGGAAGATAGGAGCTCGAAAGAACTTCGGGCGGAGAAGAAGTCTGTTCATCCATTGCCTATTGAACGCAAGAGGGATGTTGAAGAATTTGGATCAGATAAGCTCTGATACCATGAAGATTTTGAGAGTAAGAAAAACTCTTTTTTTCATCTTATTACATTAATGATTAGTGCCTCATTTTATAAGCAAAACAGAGAGAAATGACAGTTAGCGGAAAGAATAATCAGCAAATGACAGCTAGCATTTTGTTACAGTGCTTGATCCTAGCAATAAACTGTATAACATAAATGAAAACAGAAAACAGTAAAAGTAATTGTAAATACAATTTATTTCAAATATTTTTACATTTTAAAAGAGATTAAGATTTCTAATATAAGAAGGATAAAACTTATTAGGCTAATAGTTCTTTCAAATTAAGTTACTTTTGTTTATTTTTGAATTAAGTAGTTAGTCAATTTTAAGGATATCTATCTTCTTCTCAAACTCATAATTTTTAATAACTGTACTCTATAATCCTATTTTATTTACATATCATTATCTAGGTAGAACTTCTTGCCACCATGTCTTGGTGAACCTCTTAATAATATCCTTTGCCGTAGTCAATTCAAAAGCAAGATAAACTGGGTATCTCAAACTCTAGAGAATTTTTTTTGAAATGATAAATGAATTTTTGATATATAATCCTAGTTAGTTTGTTGCTCTGACATTCAACTGTGTTGGGAATGATATATTAATTCATGATTCTAGACAGAGTTTTTCAGTGTAATCTTGAATAATGGCATCTGCTCATTACTAGCAATGGTTTATCATGGTTATACTTTATGGTTGATTAGTTGTCTGTTTGTATGTTGTTTGGGTTTAACGTCTCTTCAACCACAAAGAAGATGCTAGTCATTTCACATTGTGCTTTTATCTTGCTAAAGTTTCTTATCTAAATCTTTTACCTTTTTGTTTCTCGCCATCCTAATATCAACACATACTTCATGTCTTCAGTTTCTGGGGAAGATGCGAGGTTCTGTTTCCTAACACAAAGATACTTGTCCATGGATTTGTTTTACTTCCATTGGAGAAATTTAGACTTGCTATTTTGGTTCAATATCTTAAACTGCTTTTCATATCTTTATCATACTCTTATAGAGTAGCTCACTCCTGCTGAACTCATACCTTAAAGGGAATTTTAGATGGGCTTTGAGTTTAATTGATATGCCGTGCGTTCATTTTTGCAAATTTCAATAATGTCTTGATTGTTCAATCTGAGTGTGTGCAGGTTCAGGAAAACAGAACTTCTTCAAAGTTTTTGAAAGAAAAATGGATGAAAAGCGTATTCGGTTAAAAGAAAGTGGTAAGCATCTTTCTCATTCTTTTATAGGTCATGGCAACAATTCTATGATACATCCACAAGGAATTAAAGGCTAATTACTTACTTTTATAGGTCGTGAACTTGCTGTTTCCTGGGCTTTATGTGCCGTATGCCTCGTTGGCCATCTCTCACATATTTTAGGTGCTAAAGCTCCGTGGATCCATGCATGTCATTCAACAGGGTTCCATCTGTCATTGTCTTTGTTTACATTGATTGGCCCTGGACGTCAACTTATTATGGATGGATTAAAAAGTCTTTTCAAGGGGACTCCAAACATGAACACATTAGTTGGTCTTGGAGCATTATCATCATTTACTGTTAGTTCATTAGCTGCCTTAATACCAAAGTTGGTGAGTGTGGCCCTTAGGCCTTTCATCGGAGATACAATTATACAGTTTCTTAATACATGCCTTCATGAATATTATGGTTTTTATTTTCCTTGAGGAACAATATACAGGATATTTAGTTTTGTAATTAAGAATTTTTTCGAAAATAATTTTCCACACAATATATGTTTAGTTGATAGTTTATATGTTTGTTTCCTTATCTGCTTTGGATGCCTTGAGTGGTGAGCAGCTGGCACTGCTTAACTTAGCTGAGTGGGGGTAGCTTAGATAGGAGTCCTGGCCCTACTTTGGTTGGAGTATGATTGAAGGGCTTTTAAAGGATCAAGAAGTCCTCATTTGTGTTAGAAGGTTACAGGACTTCAACATCATAATCTGGTGAAGAGATCAGATAATCAGTGCTCTCTTTGCCTTTAGGAAATGGATCACAACCATTTGCTCCTTTGGTGCTTGGAATCTAGGAGGATATAGGTTTCTAGATAAGTGGTGGTTTATGACTTGGTGGCTGCAGGAATGTGGGCTTGGAAAAGGTCTTCAGGTTGGGCAAGTCAAGAGAGAAGCTTGTTGCTCTTATTCCTTTAGCTGTTTTTTGGCTGGGCTATTTTTTTCGGTGATTGCTTTTTGGTAGAAGAATAAACTGAAATATTACTATATCATTGCTTTTTGGAGCCTAAACTCTAAGGAGACCGAAGAAATCTTTCTACTTTCACTTGGCCAAGAGGGTGGGAACTTGTATGGAAAGCACCTCTAGCCAGATTTGGAAGGTCAAAGCATCGCCTAAGTGGCCCTTTTTGCTTGGGAAGCGGCAAGAGAATGCATCTTAACCCTTGACAATTTAATAAGGAGGGGAAGAATCTTGGTAAATGGATGTTTCTGTATCAGATGATGCAAAATCCTGTAACTATGTTCTCTTGTGGTACTTGTTTGCATATTGCATGTAGACTTGGCTAAGAGGGTGGGAACTTGCATGGATACTTTCACTTGGCCAAGAGGGTGGGAACTTGTATGGAGATCAGCTCTAGCCAAATTTGGAAGGTCAAAGCATCGCCTAAGTGGCCCTTTTTGCTTGGGAAGCGGCAAGAGAATGCATCTTAACCCTTGACAAATTAATCAGGAGGGGAAGAATCTTGGTAAATGGATGTTTCTGTATCAGATGATGCAAAATCCTGTAACTATGTTCTCTTGTGGTGCTTGTTTGCATATTGCATGTAGACTTTAGTCTTCGGTCTTCTGGAGATAAGCTAGGTGATGGCAGGATCAATGAGAGTTGAGTTCGGGCTTGGAAAAGATTGCACGAGGATAACTACTCCTCAAGGCTTATCTCTTTGGCTACTTTTTGGGTAACTACAATCTCTTATAACCATATTCTCTTATGGTGCCCGTTTGCTTATCGGCTGTGGACTTTAGCTTATAGTCTTTTGGGGATAAGATAGGTAATGGTGGGTCGGTGAGAGATGAGATACGGGCTTGGAAAGGATGGCACAAGGGTAAGCACCCCTCAAGGCTTATTCCTTTGGCTGCTTTTTGGGCAATTTGAAAGAAAAAACATGAGAGCTTTTGAGGTTAGTTTGGTAGGTTTTTCTTGCGAAGCAAAAAAATACTATATATTCACATAGTGCTAGAAGGTGCAATCTGTAATAAAAAATCTTTACAAGTCTAACAAAATAACAATAAGATCTCCAATAAGGTCCTCAAATATCTTTAAATTTGTTAAAATTAGGTTCAACACCCTCAAAAACCCTCATATTCCTTTCCTTTTAGATGACCCAAATTGTAGCGAGTGGGATAAGCTGAGGGTCTTCTTTGCCATTGTGAAATTCTTTCCATGTCCGCAACTCCTCCCTAATACTACTAGCAACGACCCAATTCACACCATGGACCAAGTGTGATAGGAGTACAGGCTCCATCGAGAATATTATTGCAGGTCTCCATATCATTCTTGCACAAAAAACATCTATATACTAGGGTCTTGCACCTTTTTATTAGCCTATCTAGGGTCAAATCTGCTTCCAAATTGCTTCCCAAGTAAAAAGCACAACTGTCACTGGTTTTCACTTTCTAGACCAGCTTAGATGGGAACTTGACGAGTTGATCTTCATTCATGGATAAGTACTGATAATAAAACTTGATTGAGAAATAATCTTTTGGTGATAAATATCAAACCGGTTCATCCCCCAAGTCCCTAAAGATCATATTGGAGACAAAGCTTCTAGAAGAGTCAAGTAGCTGTCCAACTCCCAATCATTCAGATTCTTGGTTAATTGTACTTCCCAAATGTAAGCTTTGATAAATTTAAGGATACATCGTTCTAGACTATGGGATTTTTGTTTGACATGTAAACATTTTGTGTGTGAGTTTGCACTCCTTTGATGCTGGCGAATATATTATTTTTCTTTTAAAAGAAAATTCCTCGTTATTATGTTAAAAAAATAGTACATAGTATTTATAAGAATTCCTTTGACAAATATACAAAAACTAAGAACATGAACTTTTTTTGGGATAAAAGAAGAAGCATATTAAAATGAGAAGGATAGTTACAAGTATTGAGAATGAGACATTGTCCGAAAAAGGGAATGAAGCAAAATGCAAAAAGATTAATCCAATGGCCTCAACATCAGAACAGCTGAAAGAAGATCCCTACTGATAAAAAATATTAACTTCCCAATTTCTATGTAGTATAGGAAGCGCAATGTCAAGATATTTCTTAGCCTTAGCCTATACAGAGCTCAAGAATGTCGTGTTCACACATATCTAAAGAATAGGAACTAATTATAGGAAAGGAAAAGACCATAGAATAAAAGACTAAATGGAAAATACTCTATAGGAAATCTCATAAATATTCTTATTCTCTAAAAGTTGATTTTTTAGCATGGGAAGCGGGAAGAGAGTATATATTGATATTGACAAACTGATGAGAAGCGGAAAACTACGGTAAATGGTTACTATTTTTGTAAGAGAGAAACAGAATCCTGGAATCATATTCTATCATGGAGCCTTGTTGTATATAAGATATGGACTATGGTTTATGGATTATTGAGAATTAGCTGGGTTATTGCTGGTTCAATAAGAGATGAGACTTGGTTATGGGAGGGAATTAGTAAGGGGAGAAAAATTGTGGATCTCATTCCGCTTACTATGCTTTGGGTGATTTGGAAAGAGAGAAATAATAAAGTTTTTGATGAGATGGAAGAGGAGTTCTCTAAGATTAGGGATAGATGGTTACAATATTTGAGATCTCTGATTTTATCCTATTCATATCATAAAGGATTTTGGAAATGTTACATACATATTCACTGATTTGTAAATAATTTTATACATGGGTGGCACCTTCTTGGTGCTTGTGAATTAATACTATTCTTTTTATTTCAAAAAAGTATTTAAGTAACTGTTCATATAGCTTTTTTGAAAGGAAAAAGTACTCAATATGCAATGCCTCAAGGGGGTTCTGACCACCTATGGTAAAAGAGTATTTAAAAGTCAATCAAAACACCAATGAGGTATCGTAAATCCTACTCAGGAGTAAGAGGATGACTCTTAAACAAAAATAGAAGGAGATGGCGCTATAAGTCTCTCACTTGACAAATGGAGCCGAAGCTTAGTTGGGAAAGCTCCCAACCATTAGCTTGGATTGGTGAACATGAGTCTACAAAAGCCAATTTCTGAGGGTGCCTTATACAAATAAAGGAAATACCGAATGACAAGGCCACCAATACTAGGTGGCTGCTTAACCATATGGAATCTCCTATTGTCCACTGAATCATCCGAGAAAAATCGACATTGGAGTGACTCTAGCCTGTTTGCAATACTAGCTGGGTTTTAGGGAATAAAGAGAGAACATAGATGCGCAAATTTGAAAACGTGTATTTGATGAGGGTAGATGCCCTCACTTTGATGGAAAGCCCGTCTTCCAGCTGGAAAACTTTCTCCCAAATCTAGAAACTTAAGGATCACAGATGGCTTTGTTTTTGAAGTTGTCTCCTCAAGGCAAATCAAGGAAACTGAAATATGGTAAAAGACTATGTGAAACTACTTTCTAGGCAGTATCAGAAATTATAAAAACCCCTGGACACCTGAAGTTTGTTTAAGCTCTCAGCTTATCATGTTGAATAATTAGCATATGGTATTTATATGGATACCTATAACAAGAATAAGAACTTAACTATAGGAGAATTCAGTATATAGGAAAGACTGGTGAAAAATACCTGTAGACTATTACAACTTGTTTGGTTCCCTTTGATAAAATATTCACCAAATGAATACTTCACACAAACACGATTGATAAAATTTACATGAATGCTATATAACGGTGTTAGATACATGACCAGAGTTTTTGGGGTTTCTTTGGTAACTTACCGTTCAGTAATTCTGAGGCATGATTAAGACATTTATTTGTTATTAACCTATAACGCTATAATGTACTTGATGCATATAGTAGATACTGCAGGATGAAGCATGTCATTTGAATATTTAGTTTGTACTTTAGCCCCTGAAGTGATTTTATGTATGCAGGGTTGGAGGACATTCTTTGAGGAACCAATTATGCTCATCGCATTTGTCTTGTTAGGTCGGAATCTTGAACAGAGAGCTAAAATTAAAGCTACCAGTGATATGACCGGACTTCTAAGTGTTTTGCCTTCAAAAGCTCGTCTTCTGGTCAATGGTGATGCAAAAGAAATGAGCTCAACTGTTGAAGTTCCTTGTAACAGCCTCTCCATTGGAGACCTAATTGTTGTACTACCTGGAGTACGTAAAATGGAATGTTGCTGATGTTATTGTGAACTGTCATGTTTCTTTTTCATTCATTTTTTATTCTCATCTCAAGATATCTGTTTAAAAGAAACTTCATTTTTCACAGAGTTGGTCTCACTGTCAGATTTTCTTTTTTGCCACTCATTATGTCATAGGATGGTCTTCTTCCAAGCATGTAATTCAAAAGCAAGAATAATACTTGCAGCTAATTATTAGTTGAAAAATCTGACGTGCTACAAATTCATGAATTTCTGTTCCTGTAGCATATTTGGCAACATCTGAAAAATATTTCTCGTCTCTCTAGGATCGTGTTCCAGCAGATGGAATCGTTAGAGCTGGTAGAAGTACCATTGATGAATCAAGTTTCACTGGGGAGCCGATGCCAGTTACCAAACTTCCTGGGGTATCTTTCTAGATCTACTTGTAGCTATTTCTTGATATCAAGATATAGATGGTGCTTTGTAGCAGTTATAGACGTTTATTATTACTCTTCTCAGATCTACACAAAATTTGTTCAATTATGCATTGTTTACACTGAAACTAATGCGTTTTGGTCGTGCTACTCATCTTCTTGCATCTTCTCATACAATTGTGATTTTTTTTTTGATAGAGTCAAGTAGCAGCTGGAAGTATAAATCTGAATGGAACTCTTACAGTCGAAGTACGTAGACCAGGAGGTGAGACTGCAATTGGAGATATTGTTCGTCTGGTAGAAGAAGCCCAAAGTAAAGAGGCTCCTGTACAGCGATTAGCGGACAAGGTCTTCTTTGTTTCTATATGCTTTATTATGTGAATTCACGCATTTTTATTGTTTAGAAAAAGTTTTCCTAGATAGATTCAGGAATATTATGATTTTAATGTCCATATGTTAGCTTTGCTATACCGTTTTCTTAATAAGAGGATGTTTGACATCATTTATTTTTATATTTACAAGCAGCTTTAAGTACCCTTTTTTAATCTTTTTGTTTGGAGACATAAAAAGACAGGATGCTTGTTAGATTTTTAAAAGTGACTTTAAGAAGGTAAAGAGTAAGCACCTCATTCCTAAATTTTCAGGTTCTTATTTTCTTTATCTAATAAATTTATTTAACTTCTCTTCATCATTGTTTTTTAGAAAGTATTTACTAAAATAACTACTTATTTTTTACAAGTAGCACTTTATTTTAATGTATAACTGCTTATTTTTTAAATAAGAATTTATTTGTTTTAAGGAACATAAAGCATCCTATTGCTTTATGCACATTTTTTGTCAATAATCACAAATACCCTCTAATATTGAGGGTAAATATGCATATTTAATACATAAGTACGTAGATGAACATCTATGGGAAAAGTTACATCTCTTAGATCAGCATAGACATTTTGGCAACATTGCAGAGATTGAGAAGAAGAAGAACTAACAGATGTGTTTGGACATGAGCTTTGAGAGTTATAATGTGCAAAAACCGCTAGGACTAGATGGTTTGTGGATGAGGCTCTACGATGCTGGAAAATGGAGTATTTCAGTTGGAAAAGCTGAGCAAACTAATAAAAGAAAGGGGAATAACAAATTTGATGTATTTGATTACTATTCTCAATAGATTGTCCAACCATTTCACCTGATTGTTGTGTTTGGAGCCTTGAGTCTTCAGGTGCTTACACCTTTAAATCCTTTTTTTTTTCTTTCCGGGTTCCTCACCTGCAACCGTAATGCCCATTCATGTTTTATCCCGTAACTTTTGGAAGATGAAAGTTCTATCTCAAGTATAGAGATTTGCATGGACAGCTGTGCTTGATAGCATTCTTCTTATAGAATAAGAAGTATTATTAAGATGTTATGTTATTAATTGTCTATTTCCTTTTCTATTTTAGAAACTTGCATATATATAGGTTATGATATTTAATAAATATACATTCAACCATTCTTAAACCGGCGAATCCTAGTTTCTTGACAATTGATCTCCAAACTAAACCAATTCAACTGTTACTGTATCTATCTGTGCTATATCTTTCTTGGTTCCTTGCTGATTGAACATGGTGCCCTTACAGTTCTCAATGGAATTGGCTTCTTCACTTTATTTTTAAAATGCCTGAAAGCACTCTGGCGCTTTTTGGGGATTGGCACAACGCATTCGAAGTGCCCATATTGAACTGATTGTACATGCTAGGATATTTAATCAGATGCTAAACCTCTTAAAAGTAAAAAAAAAATACTATCCTAGATTTATATTAAAAGGAATAAATATTCTCTTATAGTTAATCTGGTAATGAATTTAATAACAGATTTAGGTATAAGAGCATTTCTATCCCTTTATAAATGATACTTATGAGCTTGTAAAGACACTTTAAGCAGGAAAAGTATTAGGTTTACATTTTACTTATAATTGGTCTGAATGTGGAAAGTTTAGTTAAGATTCTAATTTCTTTGGTGTTTCAGGTGTCTGGGCACTTTACCTATGGTGTGATGGCCCTCTCTGCTGCAACATTTATGTTTTGGAATCTGTTTGGTACGCGCATTTTACCAATTGCCTCATATCATGGAAGCACAGTTTCATTGGCGCTGCAGCTTTCTTGCAGTGTTCTGGTAATTCTTGAGATTATTGTGTCTATCGAGGAAATTAATTCATGTTTTCACTACTGACTTCACGAGATTACCTCTGCCTATTATTTCTCCTTTTTAGGCTTTTGTCCACTGATTCTCATTGCATGAGTATCGTTTCGTCTTTTTACCTCGTCCTGCAAGATTTATGTATTTAGCTTAATGTGGTTTTCCATAAATTTTTTCTTTGTTGTAGTCTTGCTGGTTATAAGAATTAAAAGAAATCATTTGGGTAGAGGACAGCGTCACAAGCAGCTATTATTATTATTAACTGTTATAATTAAATGGTTTATGTATGAGATTGAGACCGATATCCTTTACATGGTTTATGGGAAGAGAGGCAAGGTTGTAAGTTTTACCAGATTTAATGCTACAGGTCACAGGGGCCTGCAGATCTCTGCCATAGTTCTTACTCTTTCTTTTGGTGGTGAATGCCACTGAGTGTAATAATCCTTCTACAATGTGATTTATTTTGATGATGAAGGTGTTGTGTTTATAATTCTTGCTAGACATGGCGTGATGTAGGTTGAGATGTAGGAAAAGATAGGTCAATTTTTTGGGGAGCTAAAGACATCAAGATTGAGACTTCTTGAATGTTGTCTTCAGTTGAAAGTTTCCTTCAATTGAGGGATATTGGTGAGTGGTGAAAACTTCAGTATGTAAAATTGTTTGTTTTATTCTACTTGAGTCATGAAGGTCATCTAGAAAGCTCAGATGGGAGGAAATTCATTGTTTTTGTTTTGAGAGTTGCTAGCATTTCACTAAGCCTATCATTGAAAACTTCATCGAGGAAGCTGATCTTTTGGCCTGTTATAACATGTGGATCGATAACGAAGTTTTCTACATCATTAGATCACATAGTGCTTTAAGGAGATGGCTTAGCTAAATTGGAACAGTTCAGGCAATGAAATCCCCAATAGCTATTGTCAACTTTTCTTATATAATTTTGGCTTAATAGTAACACATTCTAATAAGATTACTATATGTCATCGTGGGAAATGATAGAGAAAATCTTAACATAGAAGTGAGAATTATAAATCTATGTAGTTATGCATGTGTTTTTTTTTAGAAGAAAAAGCATAAATATATAAACAAAGCACCTAGGGGGTGCAACCCATGTATGTGTAGTTATGCATGTGTTGCTTGTGCATAGACTTGGGATATATTTATAATGCGGCAAAAATGAGAGCAAAAGCTTTTGGTATAATATGAGGAAAGTGAGAGCAGAAGTTTTTTATTGATTTTGTATGATGGCATCATCTTTTCTTTTTTTGCTAGCCCTCATCGGGCGTGAACTAAGGCTTGAACTCGACCGGTAGAAGCCTCATACAAGAGGCAGTTACGTCAGGTCTAGAGGCTTTTGGTGTATGATGGCATCATTTTCAATTCAACTTTTATTGCTGTTTACCTCATTCCCTGATCTAGATGCAGATATCCTGGAGATCTTTTCAATGGAATTGGAAAGGAGATTTACATTTGTTTCTATTGATTTGCACTGCAGCCCACTTTTTTCTGTGTCGATGAAGTTATATTTCTTGTGCAGGTCGTTGCTTGTCCATGTGCTCTTGGCTTAGCCACACCTACTGCCATGCTGGTAATCACATCATAGACTGATGGCTTTGCGTCAGACAAGTGGATATTGAATGGTGAAGCTATTCTTGGTATTAAATCAATTATTAATGTTGGTTTCAGGTTGGAACTTCACTAGGGGCAAGGAAAGGGCTGCTTTTGCGTGGTGGAGATATTCTAGAGAAGTTTTCATCGGTCAATGCTGTTGTATTTGATAAAACAGGGACCCTAACAGTTGGTAGGCCTGTCGTGACCAAAGTGGTGACTTCCAAAGATTCAAGGTTAAATCATGATTTAAACTTATTTTATTTTATGAAAGCATCCATTAATAAAAAGTCAGCACAATTTACACTAGTTGAAGCTTTTGGAATCAATTTCTAGTGTGTGATTCTAATGCTTTGTAAGTTCTGTGGCAGACAGAATTTAGGTCATGCGTGGTCAGAAGTTGAGGTCCTGAGATTAGCTGCTGGTGTAGAATCAAATACTGCTCATCCTGTCGGTAAAGCAATTGTGGAGGCCGCTGAGGCTGCTAATTGTCAAAATATGAAGGTAACTTCTCCTTAGCCTAAAGAATGTGCTTCTAATACATTGTGTTTCCAAATTTCTTGAATTTTGCAACATCCACAATGATGTTATTTAATTAGGTGGTGGATGGAACATTTATAGAGGAACCAGGGTCTGGTGCAGCGGCTATCATTGATAACAAGAGGGTTTCTGTTGGGACACTGGACTGGGTTCAAAGGTACGGGAAATCTTATTTCTGATAGTTAATATGCTGCAATACTTCATTGCGTGCAATTAGGTAAACATTAGTTCTAGTGTTTTTATATGTTTGTTTAGTATTTTACATTTAATTTTTTTCATCTCATGGTGTTTGCTTACTTTGCTGTAACTTTCCATTTGTGAACTGAAAGTCTAGATTACGATTAAATAGCAAAAAATGTCCTTTTTTCTTTCTCTTATGAAAAATGGGAAAATATATATGGGTTTTGGTTTTAGGTTTGATATGATCTGTATTGGCATGCTGAAATTTGAACACAACAATAACTTGATGTACCATTAGTGGCTCGGTTATCTATAAGTCTCCATTACAGCTTATGTTATTGAGTCAGACTCTGGTGGTCTCCGCTGTGATATTGATTTATCTGTGATCCAGTGACTTGGATTGGAGTTGCGTACAGAATCCCACATCAAATATCTTAAACCATAAGATTATTAAAAAATACTTGCCATATGTTGATATCTTTGTTATGTTGCATATCTTTTCCTTTTAATGAGAAGTTTATTATGCATTCTCTTATCTCAATACATAATATGCAAGGTGATTCTTCAGAGCAAATGCCATTCAGGATTTAACGGTTATTAGAACTCTTTTGATAAAGCACAAAACCTGTTAGTTTCATATGAAGCCTCAAGTTTCAATGTGACATCTCTAGTGAGTTCTTATTGCAGGCATGGTGTTAACGAGAGTCCGTTGCAAGTAATGGCCACAGATGAACTTAATAGTCAGTCTATTGTGTATGTTGGAGTAGAGAACACCCTCGCTGGTCTTATTTATTTTCAAGATCAGATCAGGGAAGATGCTGGACATGTTGTTGAATCTTTGTCTAGGCAAGGAATTAGTGTTTACATGTTGTCTGGGGACAAAAGGAGGACCGCTGAGTATGTTGCATCTGTTGTTGGAATTGCAAAAGAAAAGGTAGGGAATTCTCTTTCCATTAACTGAACAGTAACTTAAAGAGTGAGAATTGAAATGAGTCATCAATTGATAAGAATAGTCATAATACATGGGCAATAAAACTTCGTTTCTTGTTGCTTTCTTTGCTTGGGAAGCCTCTTGCAAGAAAACCCCCATGATAGATAACATGAGGAATTGTGGTAGATTCGTTGTTAATGGGAGCCTGATGTGCATGCAAGAGAGTGAATCCCCGCACCATTTCTCTTTTTTTTTTTTTGGGTGTACGGAGGCTGGAATACAATGGGATTCATCCCTATCCTACTAAACTTGTCCTACACTGCCAGT